ATTTCTTTATATATGTTAGCTAATGCTAAACAAGTCTAGGCAACATTTTTCTGAATATTTTGGCTCCATATAGGCCAATCCTTATTTTGGATCTACTTTAAAAACTTTTTCTATCAACATTAGTGTACTGTAGCTGATTTCAGCTATCAAATATCTTGTAACTTTAAACCTTCTGACTTTTAGGTAATTATGTGGTTCTATCTTATTTTGTCTACATTTACATAAACATTATACCACTCCATGTTGTTTGAAGGGACACAATGAAAGTCACTGGAGGTTTTTGTGCTTGAAAATGGCGACTACTACTGGTACAAGAAAATATAAAAGCAGATTCAAACATAACCGAAGAATTTGGTCCCACACGTCTGACTGTGTTCACAATACTGATTTTAATTCTATAACGTGAGCAGTCGTTTTCACAGTGTTAACGCAAACCGTCGACATGCACAAGTGCACGATCCTGTTCCTATTTGCATATTTCACATTCAGTCCTCACGAGACTGAGCTGTGAACGTGTGTGTGTGTGTGTGTGTGTGCGTGCATGCGTGCGTGTGTGTGTGTGTGTGCAGGTTGTCGTAAGCTGTGAGGGAGTCAGAGGAGATCAGGTGGCTGAGGGTTTACTAACCACACTCATCATGAGAAAACCAGATGGTCATGTTTTTTTCTCCTTCTTCACCTACTGCAGATCTTGCCTTCTTACTGTGAGATAACTGTACGTCTGCAGTCCATGTCTGTTTGTGCACACATTTAAAAATCAGATGAACCAACAGCAAAGAGACCACTGAAAAAGTTCATCACCTGGGGGAACCAAGATGGCCCCCTCACAAGAGTGAAGCTGGATCTCAACCAGGTCCAGGAGCTTGTTTCTACACATCAGCCGACTAACTCAGGTGTCACATCATAAAAGTTAATCCGCATTAAGCTTTTAATATCTGGAAAACACATTTGCAGTGTAGTTGTGTCGTAAGCTGTGAAACAACAGGAAAACCTGGTGGACAGGTGGCAGAATTACCATTATATATAAATATATACATATATATTTTAGTCATGTTTGTCTTGTTGAAGACAGTTGAACATTTTATTTCTTCAGTGTCAAAGTCTTTATGTTTTGGTAGACTATTCTTCAAGATGGACAGCTCCATAAAACCAACAAGTCAGTATCAGCTCCAGTACCACACGTGCATAAAACTAAATATACTGTACATCGAGGTCAGTCAGTACTCAGTCAGTACTAGCCCACATGGACCAGACCTTCAGATCATCATCACGGAGCAGACACTCAGTGATGTTTGGGAAACCGTCAAACGTGGAGAGAAGACATGGACCTCTCCTGCTGTGACGCGTGCCGTGTTCAAGTTGTGTTGACACAGTGGAGTTCAGCTCCTTATTTTTAGACCTGTTCCTATTGTTTTGTTGACCCCATGTCTGCGTGACGACCGAGTATTAGGGAGGTCGTAACCTTGACGTGGACCACATTCATCATATGGCTGCTCTAGTGCGAGGCATGTGGGCAGCTAGTCAACTCTGAATGACTGTGTAAAGTTAATAGTTTACTGGATGATGATAATGTAAATGGTATTAACCTAACTAAAGTTATAAAGTCCGCCTTTATATGTTGCAGTTCTTTCCTGTTGCAAACAGGGGGTGACAAATACCACTATTGTTTATCTCCTACTTTGCTACTATCCTTCCTGCTTTTGTCTCCTCCTGGCTGCTCCTCTTCCTCCTCTCCTCTCACTCTCCTCTCGTCCTTCCGCTGACACATTTCTGCTCTGGCAGCTGCACCGTAAACTTATCACGGGTGAAGAAAGGCGATCACTCGTGCTCTCCGCCTGTCAGCACACATGTTAAGGTGAACTTGGGTGGCTCCTTAAATAACTGGCTCCAAAACCCAGGGACACACCCACCCCACTGTCCCGCTCATCGGCCCCTCCGACCCCCAGCCACTGGGCACCTCTGGATTACTGACCTGGATCAGGCCAGGGCAATCTGAGATCTAAACAATGAAGAAAGACTATCAATGTAGAAACTAGTACCAGAACCAGGCGACATACCAGGGGCAGAAACCTGTACTCTTAGACTGAAGGAACTATAACTAGGAAATGAGGCAAAATTCCAGATAGTCTTACTATCACAGAGCATTATAACTTTTAGGACCATTAAGAAAATCCAGAACCAGGAGGAAACAGTGACCGAAAACATAGAAATATGGTGGTAAAAATGAGCAGGTTCATGACTCTGTCCAACACGCAGCTGTGATGTGATGTCATGGCATCTCATATTTGCCAGTTTGTAGGTTCAGATTTACACTCCTGCAAAACTTAATACAAGAGATTTGATTCTGTTTTACATGGAGTGGGACTTAGTGTGGATCTGTTTCTGTGCTGTTAGCCTAGCTCTATTTCTAAATACAGTTTGTGTACACATAAACACTCACTCACACACACACACACACGTTTCCTTTGATCCTGGATGGTAGGCCGCTGTGGTCTGTCAGTTGGCAGATCACAGAAATACTCCAAGTGCCCATGGATCCAGTTGCGCACCCTACTCCACTCATCTAAAACCCTGCCTCCCTGTTGCCCCGCCTCCTCCAGTCTGGAGTTTGTATCTTAGGCCAATTAAAAAGTCACATTGTTCTTGTTACATGGCACCGTCTACGTTGGCCCCCCAGCTCCATCCAGGGGCTATTTAAACCTGAGGGCTACGAGTACAGCTAATCTCCTGTGGCCCCTTCCCTGATTGGCTGAGAACACAGGCTGTCCTGCAGGAGACCTGGTCTGATTGGGTTTATTCACAAACAAAAATTAAACAAAAATCAAATGGATGTTTAAAAAGTATAATTACTGGAGCTCGACATCAAATATCCATTAGCTAACTGAGAAAAGGCCACGTGGAATATGTGATGCTCTGAACCAGGAAGTGCTGATCTCCCTGATCTGGCTCCAGGTTCTGGTTCCATTATGGTAGTTCTGATGAGACCATGAGGTGATTAACAAACCCAGACTGTTGATACCAGGTCCACTCAGCTGTAATCAACGTGTCCACTGATTCATCCACCTAACACACAGTGAATGTTAAACATATTTTAGGCCTGCTGCTCTGTGTCACGCTCAGGATAAACATTTGAAAGACAGCAGGCGCTGTGGCATCTCTGAGGCTGAAGTCACCGCTGCTCGCTCCACTTATAGCAACTCACAAAATCCATTTTTCACAGACAGCTCACAAACATGTCTCTCTCAGAATAATGGTCAACGTCTTTAAAAAAACAGACAGTACTGAGATTTAGAATGAAAGGTGACAACAGGAATCAACTGCTCCACATGGACACTCCCAGGTTTGGTATGGTACACGTCCACCGAGTATACATTAAAAATATAAAAAGTGAATTTACTCTGCGGTGTTTAGTCGACAAGATGGTGGAAATAAAGAGTTTGGATTTCATTAGGAGAATTAAGTCATGTAAAAGTAAAAAAACGTTTTTTCTTTTTAACCTAATAATAATAATAATAATAACTCTCCTGACGCTCTAGTTTAGGGAACTAACTTCTTACATCTTTTCTTAAATCCGTTTTAATGGCCGTCCACTTCATCTTAGTTGTCAACTTCACTCTGTGAAATATTCTAACCCAGCGATCCAAAACTGTTTCAGTCCAGTACCAGCCGGTTCCAGACCAGTACCGAGGGATTGTTAAAGATCAGTACTGTATATCTTCACAGTAAAACATTTCTTTGGTCTTATTCTGTTAGTATTAAAGTCTGAGAGAGATCATTCTACGAACTCTCCAGATGTCTTCAAATGAAGACAGAGTTCGTGGAAATTTACAGGTTTACTTTAAATTAAGTTAATTATTTTACTGTAGCCCAGTAGCTAATGACAAATGGACCAGTACTTGTCCGTGGACCAGGGATTGTGGATCCTGTGTGTCAGTAACACGGCCAACAGTTTTTCTCTGTTGAAGTCAAATGTTTTTTTTTTCTTTCCCTGTGTCTAAACAACATGTCACCATCCAGCAGTCACATCTCACCCAGACACAGCTAACAGACAACATCTGTGGAGGAAGAACAGACGGGGAGGTGGGAGCTCAGAGGTCACTCTCACACACACACACACACACACACACGAGGCCAGTGTCTCTCAGCCTCTGTACCTGTGGTGGGAGAGACACTGTAAAAGTGTCAGACTTGGACCATCTGGCATCAGGGACATGAAAGACGTCCACACCTGGAGGACATCCTCCAAAGCTCCGCCCCCATAGCCGTTCACGGACCCTCCCACTGACGCTTTAGTGCCTGTTACAACTGCTGACATCCTACTGTTAGGACCAATTAACACTAACGTGTGATGACTATGATTTCACACACATACACACACACACACACACAACTTCCTTTCTTTGTTTTTAGTTTGGCTCGTTGTTTGACTTACTACAGTTGCAAACTTAGAGTGTGTGTTTTTTATCTTCATCCTGTGTGGCCTCACTATGGCAGTTTATGAGAATTTTAGATTTCATAATAACGCAGCAAATAAATAGAATTATTACATTGAATTATTACATTCTCTCTCTCACACACACACACACACACACACACACACAGACAGTCACAGACCGACCACTTGTGATGACATCATCGTGGTGGCGGCAGCAGCAGCGAGGAACAGGTGTTTTCAGACACTGAAGGACTCACTCAGTCACACATTCCCAGCGACTCAACAGTGAGGAGCTGTTTTTAGAACCAAGTAAATCCTCCAGGATTTCCTAGGCCAATTATGATGTCAGAGAATCCCCAAAGACGTTTTAGCGTGAGGAGAGTAAAAAACGCCATACGTAACAGGAGTAGATGTTGCAGTAACCAGAGAGACGGCAGCTGAAGTTACAACCAAGTTAAAGAACTTTCACTTTTCACTCATGAATGAACTGTGGTTCCTCCTTTAACTTTAGGAAACAAAGTAGGGGGCGGGGGCAGGCAGTAGGACTGTTAGATGTAGATGGACTCACCTGGAGGACAGAGGCAGCTGTGAGAAAGGTCCCTCACCTCCCGTGTCTTCGATAATCGAGCTGCAAGCTTCTGGAAAAACATCAAAGAGGAATAACGTTAGAATTAAAGCTGTAGATCAATTGATACAATACAATTATCAATTTAGTTTAGGAAAAAAATACTTTTAGTTACATCTCAGTTTTTCTTTAGCCTGAATATATTTTACCCAATAAATCAACAACCTATCAGTTATTTCCGTGATAAAATGTTTTTTTTTTACTTTTGTTTATATGAAACTTTAGATTTCTTGACTAATGTTTAATATCTTGTCATTCGACAAAACTCTACTTTAGTAGTATAAAATAATATTAATGTTATATTATAGTGTTTTCTAGCAAATAAATCTAATCATTATGTTGGTACATTGTGTGAACTCACTCAGAGAGCATAGATATAGATTTTTATTATTTTTATATGTATGTATATATATATATATATATACATACATATAAAAATAATAAAAATCTATATCTATGCTCTCTGAGTGAGTTCACACAATGTACCAACATAATGATTAGATTTATTTGCTAGAAAACACTATAATATAACATTAATATTATTTTATACTACTAAAGTAGAGTTTTGTCGAATGACAAGATATTAAACATTAGTCAAGAAATCTAAAGTTTCATATAAACAAAAGTAAAAAAAATTATATACACACATACAGTATACAGATCTCATCCATCACATACTCCTACAGCAGTTAATGTCATGTCATCATCAGAAGTCTGTGGTGATTATGCTGCTGCAGCCTAACGTTCTCATTAGGAACACACTTCTGCGCTGCCTGTTGTACATCGACACAAATCTCTGCATCTGTCAGCATCCTGTTATGAATCAACGTATCACTCTGCTCGTATGTGTGTGTGCGTGCGTGTGTACACGGAGTTCATGAACAGAGCCATCTTAACTGTACTCTGACAAAATGCACAGCTGCTTGATTAGCCCATCTGATTAGCATACGTCATTTACACACACACACACACACACACAAACACACCAGACCTCACAACATGTTGGGTGATGAAAGCAGCACAGTGGGAGGGAAGAGGAGGGGAGCGGAGGGGGGAGACTGGAACTATATTTTTCACTTTTCCACAAGTGGCAGCGAGGCCTCCGACTCCCATCATGTCTCTGCACTAACTATGTGAGCCAGACCTCCAGCTGATCTGCAGAGAGCACTTTGTGGTTAATTGTAAAAGTTGCAGGAGACCATGTTTGGAGCCGGCAGAGGGGTGAGGTCGGCAGGGTCAGGGTTTGGGGCTGTTACTTGGGGGGAGGAAGGACTGAATTCAAGAAGCGCACAAAACTAATTTTAACTTCACCACCTGTTGAGATTTTTCAGTTTTAAAGGCAATAAACTTTTGTATATATATATTTCCATTACAATTTAAATGTGATTTTAGCTTCATGAGACACAGGAGACTCTTTACATTTCTGTGTACAATTAATGTCTGTTAAATAATTCCAATAACTACAAAAGAACACATTTAAAACTCACATTTGTAGCAGCCACAATTAATCAACAACATGTAATAATGTAAAAGATTTGTTTTTCTAAATTAACTAAGACCGTGGTCTAAATGTGAATAACTTTAAAAAACAAAATCATTCTTCATTTTACTGAGGATTAAATAACTAAGACCAAGTTCATTTCATACTGTTTAATAAATTAACAAAAACTACTGCTACTAGTGTTTCCTAATCATCCTTACATTTCAATGACTTTTTAAAGTTTAGTAAAAGTATTATCGAATTTAATGGAATCCAAACACAACCAAAGATACTCCAGTACAGATACAAACAAATTCATTTTTGAGTAGCAGTAGATAAAAGGTTATTGTTTGACTTAAACACTTTGTGTATTTTAAAAAAAAGGTTAACTTTAAATATAAATAGTTAAATAGAGATCATCTAATGATCATCAATCACTGTAGATTAGCATTAGCCAAAGGCTGTAATTGATCTTTCATGCCAGATTGAAAACAACCCTGACACCCTAGCTAAATGTTAGCCTTGTTAGCACACTACATGCACTGTAATACATCTACTCGACAGCAGGTGACCCAGTTTTCAACCTGACATGACACACATTCCATTTTGTCAATATGTGGCTGCTAGTCCTTGTAAGTAAAATAAGCTATGCTGAAGCTGTATGTCATCGCCAGGTTAAAAATAAAACAAATGAACAGAAAAACAAACAATTAGAAAATGCAAAAGTCTCCCAGTTAAGATTCTCTACCACAACCAACTAAATGCTAATACATTTTTAACCTGTAGGATGTCTTGGTGGCTGACTTGCAGTGATGCTAGTGTTAGCCATGTCTATGTTTAACTTCAAAACTGTGTTTCTGACAGCACAATTTAAACTTTAAAAAGACACAAGCTAAAAGCAAAACAAACATTTTTTTAATAAAACATCAGTGTGATTTAAGTCATGTCCTACCATGTTTACATTCAAGCTCTGTAGTCCATGATCAGCAGTTTAAAGCTAACATGCTTAGCCGTTTGTCCTCAGTAGCCATATTTCCCCATTTCCTGCTTTTTTGTGGACTGAATGCTGATTGGCTGAGACGTGTTCCTCAACAGGTGCCATTCTAAGATGTCTGCCATTTAAAAGACAAGTGACTGACTCATACCAATGGCTGCCATATTAGTGGACAGAGGCTTTGCAACAGTTCAAAGGTTATTAAATCATGTGAGGTAGCTTGTTTCTATTTATTATTTATGTTGTAAACTTTAATTGTTTAATTAATTTCATTTTTCATTTCATTTCATTTTTTCATGGCTATTATTTTACACAATCCTACTAAAATTGGACATTTAACTCTAGTAAGGCAACAGCACCAACCACTCTTCCACCATGTAGCCCTTATTTAATGAATTGTTGTCCTTTTCCATGAGTGATGGATTCTGCTCCAGAGAGAAGTGTAGACCACTACGATACTAAGACCAAGCATAAACCGCTGGACTGATACTAAGACCAACAGGCAGATGACCTGCAGGACTTGGTGACACTAATTACTCATGCTGAAGAACTAATTTGAATAATCATGAAGACAAATAGAGTTGGACCAAATATTTGGTCCTGAATTAAGAAATAAAAAGTTGAACAAAGATCGCTTTGACCTGTTGACCTCAGTTTTAGGGATCGACCCATTATCGGTGCCACAGTTCTGAAAACACTCTTGACCTCAGTTCTTCTCCTGGTTAAGTGGTCCTCATGAAATGGGTGACTGTGGTGGAGAGAAAGTAAGTGTGTGTGTGTGTATGTGTGGGGGGTGTTATAAAAATGAGGTCAAAGCAAACGGAAGTGGAGAAAACAGGGTCCCTGTGGGACTTTAATCACTGTGGAAGAGCTTGTTAGTGTAGCTGTGAAGAGGTCAGTGAAAGGTCAGCGCACGTAAGGCACCACGTTACACTGATGCTGATGTGTATAACACATGGACGCCAGATCTGCTTCTACAGTTGCCAGGTTGTTTAGAAAAGAAGAAAAAGTATTTTGGCTGAAGATCAAGTCTTCAACATATAAACAGGTTTTTAATCAATGTTTTCAACAGAGTTAGAACGTGAATACATCGATGAATAAGAACAAAGTCCAGAATAACAAAATGGATTTATTGACTGAAGGTCCACAGTTCGTCATCCACTGCTGCTTCCATTGGTCCGTTCATTCAGTTCAATGGCAAATCAAACCACAGGAGGCAGCAGTGGACAAGCTGCAGCTCTACAAACTTTTTTCTAGAATTTTCCAGTGGAATTCAGTTTATTATGATCAAATGTTATTTCTACCTTCAGTTCAGTGTAGACTTTCTCATTGATCTACAAACAGATTCTCTTTTATTTACTTCACCTCTATACCTGTTTCCAAGTACAGCCTTGAGGTGGTCAGGTGTAACTGCAGACCTTAATTTCAAGACAGTAACTTTTCTGTTTCTATAACGCAAACTTAGAGTGAGGCTTTGGTTTAACCCTGTATCACATGTCATTGAATAACGTAGTATATGAAATGGTATCTGTGGTAAATATACCAAATAAGGTGGAGTAATCATTTATTTTTCACTTTAGTAAAAATTAAGTAAAGTAAATTATTTAAAGTAAATTATTAATTTACTTTAATACATGAATGTTCTTGGATGCTGACTTGGAAAACAATATAAAATAAAATTAGGAGAGAACGTCTGCACTTAATATATATGTACATGCATACATATACTGTATGTGTGTGTGTGTGTGTGTATATATATATATATATATATATATATATATATAAGCTGCAGGTTCACCTGGTTCCCAAAAGGTTTAAAACTAAAACAACAAAACAACGTTTTTTCTTTGAATTCATAGTAAAATAATTACTATCATGTTTAAAAAGCCAATCGTTGCTATAACGACGCCTCACCTCGTCCAACATCTGGTCCAGTCTGCTCAGGATAACGGGCTCCACCTGCTCCAGAGAAGCGCTCCAGGCGGAGATCCGCGCGTCCCGCTCCTGCTGCTGCTCCAGACTCCTCTGCTCCAGACTTTCCACTCGGGACTGCAGTTCCGATATGCGCACAAAAACTACGGCGCAAACTCCAAGGCACAGCACCGACACCGCGACGCACAGCGTTACGAAGAACAAATCCCTCCAGTTCCTCCAGAGAGGCTGTAGGTTGGAAGGTTTCTGCTGCTGCTGCTGCTGCTGCTGCAGCTGCAGCTGCAGCTCTTGACTCCGAAACAACTTCTTCAGACCCTGCTCCTGCTCCATCTCAGACACTGGACTTTAGTTTGATCCACACGGAAACTCCTGCGTTCATGTGGTGAAGAGCAGCAGCAGCAGAAGAAGAAGAAGAAGAGGAAGAGGGTTCCTGATCTTATGAGAGTCTCTCTCTCTGCCTGTCTGTCTCTCTCCCCTTTTCTCTCTCTTCACTGTTTTTTCAAACTCTCTCCAGACTCCCCCCCTCTTTACGCACGAACAGAAACAGTTACACCGCGGGACATAGCGTGGACTGTCCTCAGACTGTGGCTCATCTATGATCTGGTGGTCGATGGTTCCTCTGTGTTCTCCTGCCTCTGTCCCATCCGCGTCTTCTCCTTAGAGTTCTCCTCTCACTGACTGTGGAGCAGGTCACGGAGTCAGTGCGCGTCTGTGAAACTCGAGCCAGCCTCCCTCTCTCTGCTCTGCTCCTCCTCTGAGAGGTTTGGGGTGAAATGCCGGGGCGGGATTAGATTCGTGGCGGTGTTGCTGCCCCCTTTGATCCGGGTGTGCATGGATGGGGGCTGGGGGGTGGTACAGTATTTTTAGGATGCTCAAAGCCGGGAAACAGCTCTGCTGATAACCCGGATCAAAACACTCTGTGGCTCTGTGTGCAGACCAGACAGATCAGAGCTCAGGCCCTCAACATACCCTCTACTACCACCTGACAGGGGCGGTATTACCCCCAGGCAGTGATTTATCCCCTGGTTCAAAACGTAGCCCCCCCTCCAAAAAAACCCACTAATTACATGGTTTTCACAATTAACAGCAGTGTGTTAGAACTTCATTAAAGATCCAGTGTCACCTCACAGCCACTGGAGTTCACCCTGCTGGTAGAAGTTGATCAACACAGTTCCCACGGCCGGTGTTTAATCTGTCCTGCTGAGGTTGGTGGTTGTTGTTGTTGTTTTACCCAGTGTGACATCACAGGTGTCACAGCTCAGAGACAGTGATGAACTTTGGTCTCTTTCACTGAAAAGTTGACAGATTTAACAACTGAAAGATTTTATTAATGTGATGATAAAGTGTTGGGGGATTTTCTGGTTCAGATTATTTTATTATTATTGTGTAGTGAACTGATCATCGTGAACCAATGCTCCTATTGGTTGAGACATGATGACATTAGGTCAGTGCTGATCAACAGTAATAATGAATAAGGTTTTAATGATGAGTCAAATCATTAACAGCCACTTCAAGCGTTTACTGGGTTTAAGTTTTATGACCTGCCTAACCCTACACACACACACACACAGACACACTGTCAGTAGCCTCCTCCAGATGATCTTGTGTCAGACCTGAATGAAATCCATTCCAGACCATGTGGATCAGGTGACCAGTCAGGTGACTCCAAACAGTAGGTAACAATCTGGGCTTGTTGTTTTAGCACCATGTAGTGTACAGCATCACCATGAGCTGATAAGGACAGCACCAGACCTAGAACTAGAAGTGGACTCTAACCAGTTCACCTACATGTCAGTAGGACTAGTCTGACAGAGTCCACCGCTTGATTTTATTTATTAAAAACCCCAGTGGTTCTCTTTATGGGTTCACGTCACCACAGCAGGCTTTTTTAAATGCTAATAAAGAAGTTCCCATCTCGTGGCTTTGCGCGGTAATCGTATAATTGCAGTCAGACCAGGAGATGTCCCTGCGACTGTCAGCCACATCTGAGGACGCAAAGGTTTATGACGACAGCTGGATGGACCAGAAATCACTACGTAATGACCGCGTGTGCCGCACCTCCTTGTAATTACACCGTGGCTCAGCGTAGGCCAGCTGGCTCTGAGCTGAAAAACAGACTTTGAAAATGATCCTCCAAATGAGAGGTACATTTATTACAATCACAGGATTCTTTCAAATTAAAAGCGACTTTATATCGTTGTTATAACAGCTGTGATAGAGATCGTAGCGCAGGCGGAGCCACGCAGGGATGACTTTAGCAGCACTTTGTTTGTGGTCACAGACTCGGTCACATGGTCCGGTCCCACTGCTTGGTTTTGATCTTCACTGACCTACTTTACATCTGTCAGGACGTCACTGATCCCTGGTTTTTACCCAATTATTAGACCTACAGCACGGAGTCAGTGGTGGTCAGAAATTATTAGTGACTCTGGACCAAATGTTCTGGAATTTTCAGATTTTCTTCCCTTGAAATTCTTTATCATAAACTGCTAATATTAGCTTCTGCCATAATATGTCCTGATGAACTTTATTAATCCCTCGGGGAAATAATTGCCCCAAAAAAGGGAAAGAAGTGGACAAAGCTAAAGTTTTAGCTCAGAAATAGCTTCATTAAAAATATTTACTTGAGTAAAACCAACATCAACAACTTGTCAACAAAAAAATGCAACAGGACGCAAGACAGTTCACAAACATTAAACCAGCGGTACAGTGAAAACAAAGCTTGAGGATAAACAGGTTAAAAAGTAGTTAAGAAGTATTTTATAAATAAAGTATGTGCTGCTGGTATCCAGTATCGACAACAACTAGCTTCCAGCTAACAGCTGATCAAAAACCCTCCAATCGACTAGAATCCAAGATTCTTAGACTTAAACCAGAATCAGAATCATGACATTTTTCACGAATGGAGACTTCCAGTTCCACTAATGACCAGTTCTGGTGTGTTTATATTTCTAGTCCAGGCTTCTGTTTCCATCACCACTGTCTACTCCACTGAACTTCCTCCCATGAAAGGCTCATTGAGGAGCAGTTCCATGTCCGTGACCTTGAAGAACTTTACCTTGGAGGAGAACCATCGACGAGGGGTGAGGGAAGGGGATGAAAACAAATTGTCACTCTCTCTCTCTCTCTCCTTCTCTCACTCTACCTTGCTACCTCCCCTGCCTCACTCACCAAGGTGGATAATTACAAACAGAGCAAATACACACAGACACACTTAACCTTCACCTCTGTAGCTACTCATAAAGTCAGCGCTGACACGAACACTTACTCCCAGTGAAGGCACTATTCATTTATGGACATTAGCAGGATCGACCAATCATCATTGGACAGCTCTAATGGAGCCTTCACACTGAATGTGATGCAAATGTGCCAGGATGACATCACAAATAGAAACACACAGGTAGGCAGGCGCAGACATTAATTTTGACTGACGTGATTAAATCACAGAAGGAGCTCTGTGATTTTGAGTGAAGTGAAATCAATAGGTTTACTGTATAAACAGTCTGATTCTCTACAATAACATATAACCCACAGGGGTTATTAATCCACTGCTGCCTTCTTTAGTAAATAAAAACCTAAACATATCACTGGTTTTCTCTACTGACCCTGGTGTTGGACCAGCGAGTGTTTCAGTTAGCAGCAAATGATGACAAACAATGTGAACATTGTTGTTAAAACAGTACATGTCATTAGGGGCTGAGTGACAGCAAAACAAAATGAATCAATGGATGGATGGATATGCTGTGATGCGTTCATATGATTGTAAATTATAGCAGCTGTTATTTTCTGCTGCAAACACACCACTGCTGTGATCCAATAAAAACAGTCCAATGTTCAAGAGACCCTAGAGGCAGAACCTGTTGTCTTAAAGTGCCCATGTGTCCACACCAGCATTAGAGTTTGGATCATTTGTCTGTAACTGGATCACCATGAAAACATGACAACAGATCAATGAGGATGTTGATTGGTGGGCAAAAGGTGTTTCCTGCCTGACTACACTCGTAAATAATAGTTCAAAAAGGTCAGAAGGTTCAGCCGGGCAGAAGTGGAGATTGTTTAGTCAAGTAAAAGTTAGACAGGCTGGCCTTTAAAAGAAGAACTGGAAAGAAACCAGAAAAAATGTTTTGGCTAAAATACCTAGGTTGGATGGATAAAGTCAAAACACTTAAACTTTAAATATCTGAACGTTAGCCTTTAATGGGTGAGGCGTGAACAGCCTAGAGTTTCTATAGATAAAGCTAAAACAGAGCAGAAAAACCTCTGTCTGATCTGACTCATACCTCACAGGAAGTACACCAAAACTTCCCTTCTAGTAAACTCTGACACAAAACTAAAAACAAACTGTTTAGCTAAAATAAGCAAAATGTTTCCTTACAAAGAACAGCAAACAATCCTTGCTACTTAAATGTAGATTAAAGTTTCAATTAAATCACAGCTAAATGCAATACAGTACATTTACATACTGTGGAAAATACACAGAATAATACTGAAAAATGTTATAAAAAACAGATGAGATTAAGAATAAACCTGGTGCGAACAAGTTCCTGCTGGTTTTCATTAGGATGTTAATTAAAATGTCTGCATCAATAACTCTGACTCTCAACTCTGACTCTCAACTCTGACTCTGACTCTGAAGAAGGATGGACGCAGATGTAGATGATCCACTAACTGCCAAAACGTGTCATTGCGTTACACTGTGTACTTGCCCAGTTGTAAATGATTTACCACTAATTTCTACAGTATAATTCAGCCACAGATTTCATTTCACTACTCCTTCGTGGGACGTTTGTTTCTTCACCAGTCACCACTGAGGTAATTCTCCCACAATTAGACTTCCTCTGTGCTAAGTGTTGGATTTCTGCGTGTGTTTGATTTATCTGAGAACCGTTCTCAGCTACGGTTTCAGATTTACACAGATTTAAACAAACAGACCAGAGTGAATCAAATCTACTCTGGATGATTCAACGCCTCTTCGTTTACACACAAATCACTGGTTTTTGATTGATTTTTTATTACAGCCAGCACACACAGGCTAACAAGACTTGGTTGTTACTGAGGTCAGACCAGAGCCAGGACAGAGCATACGTCTGACATAATACTAAACAAATCAGCTTCTTCTAGTGTTTATTTCATGGCTTAAGACACAAATGGGTTCAGGTCGACATATAAAACCCCAAACAAACGATCTGTCATCATCATTATTAAACCAGAACTTTTGCAGACTTTGAAATTGACTTTAATTCCATATAGTTTTTCCTAATTCATCATCATAACAGCAGTGTACGTTATAATGAAAACCTGTTCAATTCTACAACAGTTGACTTTCATAGTTTCACATTTTACAAGACCTTAAACTGTCATGAAAAACAGAGACAAATGTCATGGCTTTGTATGCTTTGAGTCCTTTAATGTGTTGTTTCTTTGATAGACTATGGTATAGACTTTTATTCTGTATAGTTTTTCCTAATTCATCATCATAACAGCAGTGTACGTTATAATGAAAACCTGTTCAATTCTACAACAGTTGACTTTCATAGTTTCACATTTTACAAGACCTTAAACTGTCATGAAAAACAGAGACAAATGTCATGGCTTTGTAGGCTTTGAGTCCTTTAATGTGTTGTTTCTTTGATAGACTATGGTAGTTTTCACACTAATGGTACACACGGCGTAGAAGAAGAGAAGAAAAACTGTTGGTACATTTAGGATTAAATCCTCTCTGGAGAGCAGTAAGAACACCTTTTAAACCACCTAACAACCAGCCCACTGCTGTGAAGACGAGCGATGATGACGAACCTCCGATTCACCTGCTAAGTTGTTTTATCACCAGAACATTATCCGGTCGGACACTTGTCGTAGGTAAACAGGTTTAACGTGAACCACTGCAGAGGAGACTTATGTTAAGAAAAACAAAAGAGAAAGTCTGTTGTCAACCCTGCACTTATGTCCCCAGAAGACAGGGGGCAGTAGAGACAGTAGAAACACTGAAGAACAAGAATATGTCCAAGATGCAGACTTCAAAAACAGAAAGGACTGAGGTGGAAATAAACGATGGCAGCACAATCCCCTTTGGTCTGACTGTCCCCAGACAGCAGGAGAAACAAATGTCTCCACAGACTGAGGACACTTCTCTGTCTCCTGTGAGACAGTCTGCAGAGCCTCCAAAACTCAATCCCTGGAAGACAACAAAAGTGAAGGTCAGCCAGCAGCTGGACGACGAAGGGTTCCCTCCTCTGCAGAGAGGTCCAGTAAAGGAGGACAAGCCTGTAGGACACAGGACAACAGGGACTAAAAGGAGATCTCACCGCTCTTGAGCTGATGTATGTTTTGGACTAATTCTCCCCAGACCAGAAGCCCCTGTAAAAACCAGAAAGGAGAAACGGCAGACAAAGGGAAAGATTGTGTTTATTCCCTCAACAACAGAGGACACACTGTCCCCCGTGGTACAGTCTGGGACACAGACAGAGAGAGAGACACCTGATAGTGACACTGTCCAGAGTTCAGAGGTGTGTTTGTCTGCAGTGTCCCTCAGTACAAATGAAGATATAGAGACGTCACAGCTATCACTGGTGTCCGTCCATGAGGACAAGACTCTCCCGTGTAATCATCCAGAACCAGCAGACATCGAAGACGCTGAGGCTCTGAAAGTCCCTCGTTCAGAGGTGCGTCCCTCTCTAATGGAGGTGGAGAACCATGGTGTCCTCGGTGTATGTCCAGAGTTTCTAGACAACAAGAGAGTGGAGGACCAGGTGGAGGTGATGGGTTTATCACACCTGGACACAGAGACAAACCAAATTGAGACCATCCAGGGTTCAGAGGCATGTACGTCTTTAGTGTCTCTGCGTACAGAAACCATTCTGAGTCAGACGTCCATCCGTCCATATTCACAGTCTCTGGTGGATGAGAAAGCTGAGAACCATTCTGTCCCGTTGACAAAGACCTGTCCTTTCTCACAGTCCCAAGAAAAAGAGGAACAAGTGGACCTGGGTGTCCAGGGTTTGAAGATGTCTCCAGCACCAGAGTCTATAGATGGAGAGGATCCTGGTGACCAAACTGACCATGGGTTCAATGTGTTACCATCACAACAGTCTGTGGACGCAGAGACATCTCTAGACCACATGGTGAAGGGTTCAGGTCCATGTCCACCTCTAATGTCTCATCGGGGTGCTGACCAGATATCTTTGTATCCAGAGACGTGTCCACATCCAGAGTCCGTGGGCTCAGAGGACACCAAGAACCAAGACCTTCTGTCTTTGTCTTCAGACAGTGTAATGCTTTCAGAGACATTTCTATCCACAGTCTTTTCAGAGGAGGTCAACGAGACTCCGCCCACTTCTCATTTCACTCAGACTAGGTGTGCGTGGACAAATGACGACCAGTGTCATGTACGAGGACACACGGAGACTGTGGACCTTTTCAGTCTGCGCCAGCATCTAAGGACACACGACACGGGAACCGATGGTGCCTGTCCTGCTGCTCAGCTGTCTCACCAGAACAAACTAGAACGCCGGGCTCATCTCAAGGCTAATCTGAAAATCAAGGAATTGAAATACCCCGTCTTCACCAATCAGACTTCAAAAACAGAAAGGACTGAGATGGAAATAAACGATGGCAGCACAATCCCCTTTGGTCTGACTGTCCCCAGACAGCAGGAGAAACAAATGTCTCCACAGACTGAGGACACTTCTCTGTCTCCTGTGAGACAGTCTGCAGAGCCTCCAAAACTCAATCCCTGGAAGACAACAAAAGTGAAGGTCAGCCAGCAGCTGGACGACGAAGGGTTCCCTCCTCTGCAGAGAGGTCCAGTAAAGGAGGACAAGCCTGTAGGACACAGGACAACAGGGACTAAAAGGAGATCTCACCGCTCTTGAGCTGATGTATGTTTTGGACTAATTCTCCCCAGACCAGAAGCCCCTGTAAAAACCAGAAAGGAGAAACGGCAGACAAAGGGAAAGATTGTGTTTATTCCCTCAACAACAGAGGACACACTGTCCCCCGTGGTACAGTCTGGGACACAGACAGAGAGAGAGACACCTGATAGTGACACTGTCCAGAGTTCAGAGGTGTGTTTGTCTGCAGTGTCCCTCAGTACAAATGAAGATATAGAGACGTCACAGCTATCACTGGTGTCCGTCCATGAGGACAAGACTCTCCCGTGTAATCATCCAGAACCAGCAGACATCGAAGACGCTGAGGCTCTGAAAGTCCCTCGTTCAGAGGTGCGTCCCTCTCTAATGGAGGTGGATCGTTCGGAGGTGCGTCCCTCTCTAATGGAGGTGGAGAACCATGGTGTCCTCGGTGTATGTCCAGAGTTTCTAGACAACAAGAGAGTGGAGGACCAGGTGGAGGTGATGGGTTTATCACACCTGGACACAGAGACAAACCAAATTGAGACCATCCAGGGTTCAGAGGCATGTACGTCTTTAGTGTCTCTGCGTACAGAAACCATTCTGAGTCAGACGTCCATCCGTCCATATTCACAGTCTCTGGTGGATGAGAAAGCTGAGAACCATTCTGTCCCGTTGACAAAGACCTGTCCTTTCTCACAGTCCCAAGAAAAAGAGGAACAAGTGGACCTGGGTGTCCAGGGTTTGAAGATGTCTCCAGCACCAGAGTCTATAGATGGAGAGGATCCTGGTGACCAAACTGACCATGGGTTCAATGTGTTACCATCACAACAGTCTGTGGACGCAGAGACATCTCTAGACCACATGGTGAAGGGTTCAGGTCCATGTCCACCTCTAATGTCTCATCGGGGTGCTGACCAGATATCTTTGTATCCAGAGACGTGTCCACATCCAGAGTCCGTGGGCTCAGAGGACACCAAGAACCAAGACCTTCTGTCTTTGTCTTCAGACAGTGTAATGCTTTCAGAGACATTTCTATCCACAGTCTTTTCAGAGGAGGTCAACGAGACTCCGCCCACTTCTCATTTCACTCAGACTAGGTGTGCGTGGACAAATGACGACCAGTGTCATGTACGAGGACACACGGAGACTGTGGACCTTTTCAGTCTGCGCCAGCATCTAAGGACACACGACACGGGAACCGATGGTGCCTGTCCTGCTGCTCAGCTGTCTCACCAGAACAAACTAGAACGCCGGGCTCATCTCAAGGCTAATCTGAAAATCAAGGAATTGAAATACCCCGTCTTCACCAATCAGACTTCAAAAACAGAAAGGACTGAGATGGAAATAAACGATGGCAGCACAATCCCCTTTGGTCTGACTGTCCCCAGACAGCAGGAGAAACAAATGTCTCCACAGACTGAGGACACTTCTCTGTCTCCTGTGAGACAGTCTGCAGAGCCTCCAAAACTCAATCCCTGGAAGACAACAAAAGTGAAGGTCAGCCAGCAGCTGGACGACGAAGGGTTCCCTCCTCTGCAGAGAGGTCCAGTAAAGGAGGACAAGCCTGTAGGACACAGGACAACAGGGACTAAAAGGAGATCTCACCGCTCTTGAGCTGATGTATGTTTTGGACTAATTCTCCCCAGACCAGAAGCCCCTGTAAAAACCAGAAAGGAGAAACGGCAGACAAAGGGAAAGATTGTGTTTATTCCCTCAACAACAGAGGACACACTGTCCCCCGTGGTACAGTCTGGGACACAGACAGAGAGAGAGACACCTGATAGTGACACTGTCCAGAGTTCAGAGGTGTTCTTTATAGTTCTTTAAATGTGGAAACAAACCTGATCCCACAGCCAGAGGTTCACCATCCTAGTTCTACGTTCCTGACTTTAACTGTAACTTTATTTTCTGATAAGGCTAATGTTTGTGTATCTTTTCATTATATTTTTGTTATTTTGGACTTTTACTCTTATTTTTGGGCTTTTATATTTTTAATATCTTTATTTTTTCATTTCTACTTCCATGTATGTGTTAACTTTTCTTGTGTTCAATAAAAATATACAGAAAAGAAGCAGGGATTAAGAATATTGAACCAAACAAATTTACATTAACCTGAGTTTTAATCTGGATTTTAAGATAAAAGACATTTATGACATCACTAATGATATTTCTGGACTTGTGGTTTTTCCAAATAATCCACAGCTGCACGGTTTAATTAGGCCAAACCTCAACGGTGAGTGAGCTCATTGGACAGCAGGGGGCGGGGCTGGGTTTTATTTAAGGAGACATGTGATTAAAAGTTCTGCTTTAAACCCAGGTCCCACCGGTGTTTGGCCACAGTCACTGGTGACAGAGAAGGTAGTCTGGTTAGACCTGGTTCTGGACCAGAACTGAAGAAACAAATGACCTTCTCACTGTTTCACCTCCATGGAATTACAAAAGTCACTTCCTATGGTTCTAAATATTTGGTTGTGAACCCAGTGAACCTGTGACATTCGTCAGAAATGGTAAAACCAAAGGTGTGGTGGTAATATTTGTGTGCCCCCTGCTGGTGTTTCTCCTGAACACATTTATCAACAATAGCCTTTGAACTAGGAACTAGAACTAGAACTAGAACTAAAACTGGAACTAGAACTAGAACTAGAACTAGAACTAGAACTAGAACTGGAACTAGAACTAGAACTGGAACTAGAACTAGAACTAGAACTGGAAGTAAAACTAGAACTGGAACTGGAACTGGAACTTGGCACCAGAAAAAGACAAACATTGGCCATGAATGAATGACTTGACTTTTCATTGTTTATGTCATGTTGGTTCAACTCAATAAAATATGATAAAAATATTAAATTCTCTTTTTTAAAGCAGGGTTATGCCACAAAACTCTACATTTTATATATCTGGCAGACATGAGTTCAAACTCCTCTCTTGTTGGAACCAATTACATCATTGACAAAAACTGATATTTTTCTCTTTGTTTTTTTTTTCTGGTTAATTTTTTTCTAAAGAGTCGTCAGAGAAAAACTGTCATTGGTTCAGAAACTTTTGTCTTTGTGTAGCTGCATAAATTCAAAGAGAAATCACGCCGTCACTCGTCCACTGGTGTCCACTGGTGTCCACTGGTGTCCACTTCACTCATGTCACAAATGTGCAACCAGAGCCTGGGACCGGTCCTGGGAATGTGAGAACTCCAGAAGGCTTGAGGTGAAGCCAACCAAAGTTTTACAGCCACCGTGGCGGCAGCAGCAGACTGCTGGGCGGCCGTCCGCTGCACCAGCTGCTGCTGACCATGCCAGAGGAGATCTTTGACTGAGGGAAGTAAATGAAACCAGGCTGAACCTCCTGGACTCCTGTGACTCTGGGTTCAGAGACCACGAAGACGAACCAGGGATAACAGACCTCGAGATTCAGAAAAGCTGAGGTTCACGTGAAGTTGAACTGAACTGAAATCCTCCGCCAGCTTCTCCTCTGATCTGAACCTGGACACTGTTCTCCTTGAGACAGAAACCTGCCAACGTAGGAAGGAAGTCCTGATGTGGGTTTTCCAGAACTTCAACAGAGTTGAACATGAACTTGGAACGAAGAGTAGAAGAATTTAACGTCAATAAAAACTGATTTACTCTCACATTAGAGACATCCTTTCATCCTGGTCAGAGTTTTTTCAGACATCAGTTGATTCATAGAAACAGGAAGGAAAAATTTTGATAAACGCATTTTACTTTAAAGAAAGTGACTTGTGACACAGGGCCGAACGCAAAATTTCTCCATGTCAGAGCAGAACACTGTTGACGTCAGCAGAAAAGTCCAGAGTCCAGTGTTCTGATCCACTTCCTGTGTCACTGCACTCTCACACACACACACACACACTCCATGATTGTAACCATTCGCCATTTGATTCTTCTGATTCTTCTGATTCTTCTGGTTTCTCCGATTCTTCTTAATAAATGAAAAGCATTGTTTCAGCTATCAATCAAAAACACCTAATATAAAAGGTATTAATATTATTAAAGCTACAACTGAAAAATGTTACTGACTGGTTGGTGGGTTCAGTTGGAGCAGGACACCACGCCCCCTGGTGTCTACACTGATAAATGGGTAACTATTTCAGGTAAAACTTTTGTTTTTTTACAGAGTTTAGCTTTGTTTATATAATAAAGTTGCTTTTTTTTACAATTTCAGATTAAATTTTTTTTCTTTTTCGTAGCTAGCTGTTAGCCTCTTGTTTGTAAGTTCTGCTAACGTTGGGCTATTTCTTAATAAAAATCTGGTGAAATTTAACATATTATTTCTTCTCTTAGCTGTTTGGGCTGGTCAGTGTTTTACTCACAAAGTATTTACAGTGATTTCTAGCTATTTACTTTAACCATATATATTGAATTTGACTTTTCTCTTTTTTCTATTTCCTAATTTAATTGACATATTATCAACTATCAACATTGAACGACACCTCAAATCACTGTTGGTTTGAAAGCAAATCAAAATTTAGTTTTTAAAAAGTAGTTTTGTTGTATTTAAATTTTCTTGCATTTAATTATTATTAACTGTAATTAAATGATCTGCAGCGTCTGGAACATTTCAAACTAAAGTTTCTCCTGCAGATCAGTGCAGTGTCATTCACCTGATGGACGCTCTCTCTCTCTCTCTCTCTCTCTCTCTCTCTCCCTCTCTCTCCCCCTCTCTCTCTCTCACCTGTTCTGTCTCATCTCTAAATGAGAAACTGAAAAGAAAACGTTAGTCAGTGACAGCCAACAGTTGCTGTGTGAAGCCCACGATTCTCAAACATAAATCTCATAACTCTAACCCCCGGAAGCGCCCAGTCCTGCTCCTCTCAGCTGTCTCGGTTTATATTTAGTGCTGCAGGCAGAAAGATGGCGCTGTGGTGTATGTTTACCCTGAAACCAAACCATGTTTTATAGTTTACTTTTTTCAGTATTTCCTGTATGTGTGTACTCTATCTGGATAGTATTCACCGATTTGTTAAAGTTAGTCACTGTTCGGCCTAAACTGAAAATGCTAAAAGATCTAAGAATAATTTAACACCAAATTCCTAATTATCCAAGAAAAATGGCTTTAAATCCCTGGACAAATGCATTAAAGGGTTAACTAATGAGAGTAGAATAGGATATGACATTTAGATGGATCTGTTTTACTTCAGATTTATGTCCCTTTTCGTAAGGTCAATGACTAACCGCTAAAGCTAGCTAAACCAACAACAATCCAACAAAGTGTATATCAAAGATCTTCAACATGGGATCTGTGACCCCTATAGTGTCCATGGGAGTACAGCAAAGGGGTCAGGACATTTTTGGTTGAACGTCAACATATTAAAAGGAATCAAATGGAGGCAGAGACTGAACACAACAGACACAAATGTATTGTGTAATGTAATGTGTTTCTTGTTCCATCTGTCCATCTCCATCATCATCACCATCATATATGATGCTACCTGCACGCTATCTTCACCCAAACTAAGTTGTCAAAATGGACAAAATCAACCATGAGAAAGGAAACCTGTAAAAGCCCATAATGGTTTTGACAAATGTATTGTCAGTACAGAGAAACTGTGCTAAAAAGACAGAGACAAATATCCTGAAGGTCATGTTTTATTTTCTACCATAGAGTAGAAAATAATAATAATAATAATAATAATAAGTTGCGGCCAGTGGTAACATTTAGTTTTTTTATTTTTTCCCTTGTTGCACTTTGTGTGTTCATAAATTGTCCAGCGCACACACACACACACACATTCTATGAGATAATCTTGTTGTGTCCTTCAACTTCTGTCTTTGACCTAATCAAACTATTTTGGACGTTCCTTCCTTGGATTTGTTTTTCTCACCAAGTCAGTTCTCTCAAGTCAAAATCTCTTCATGAAGAAGAACATTAATTTTTTTCATTTACAAAATACAATTTTAAGATAAAAAAAACTAAACTAATATCAGTGTTTTCAAATGTGTCCTTTATATATTACATTTTTTTAATTTAATTTAATTAAACGGTTAAAAGTTCACAGCCACAAAGGTCAGAAGAGAATTGTTAGCTTCTTTTTTTTAAATCAGTGAACAAATTCTTGTTGACTATATCGTAAGTTTTCTAAAACATTTCATGGATTATTTTTTTTAATTACAATTAAGAGTGGTACAACATCTGGTGTATGGTTTTGTTTTTATTACATTTCTACATAACTTTTTGTAAATTACATTTCTATATTTTTATTCTAACGGCATTAACAGCCCCCCCTGCAGGAGAGGAGGAGAGTGCTTTTCACCAATGACGTTTAAAATACATGAATACATGAATGACCAGGAGTTTGTGGCTGCGGTCATTTGTCCATGTGATGCTTGGTTTCAAGAACATCTTGGACAAATGTGAATCTTTTAAAGGTTCTGGAATCACAGCCTATCAGCATCCACCACAGATGATGATGATGATGATCTGCTTCAGAGTTGAGAGTGTTGTGAAATGTACGAGCTGTTTTGATTGGTGTGAACGCGTTTACATTTTAGTCACAGCCTCAGTCTCAGAGTTATTAAATGATGGAGCGCCACACGCTGGCATCACAAATATTTACACTAAGGGCGGGCATACACTGTACGATTTTTGAAAATCTTGTCGTTGATACCATCACACACTGTACGAGTGATGTACGGACAAAGCTCACGATTTATGTACTCACACGGTCCGATCATCGAACATGACCAGAGAGCTCACACTGTGCGGGTGAAAACGTCCCGTCGCCCCCTGCTGACTGTCCTGTCTATTGACATGACATTGTACGATGTCAATAAAGATTTATAAAATCTTTATTGACATTGTACAGTGTATGACCAACCCAGATCTGTCACTGTGTCTCATACAGAGATACTTCTGCTCATTTCTTGTACTAATTTGCTAATTTTGGAGTAATATGTTAGCCTAGCATCGCCAGTCAAATCTTTATATTTCAGCTACGTTTAGTTTTAGCTTTAACTGAATGTAAAACTTCTGTCCGAACGAGTTGATAGTTTGAATATTTATGAACACTTTATTTTTTACCCTAATATTTATTATCTTTAATTGTATGTATTTTATAAGATGATATATGATATGATATGATATATATATATATATATATATATACACAGTATATATATATATATATATACAGTATATATATATTGTATATACAAGAGTATATATTTGCTGTACTCCCCACCACCAGTTAGAACTGAAGAAGCTTCTTGGATGAGAGGTGAAACGTCTTCTTTTAGAAAATTCACATCCAGTTGCCTAACAGAACTTTCAAACTTGACCACGACCTGGATGACTGAGAATCGTTATAGACATACCTTTACTGGTCTTTATTTAAAAGAATATTTTTGTCTTTTTCTCGGCACATCCGTCAGTTTCTAAAGTTTTTATTTGGACTTGGTTGGTTTTAATATTTTCTCCAACACTGCTGAAAAAAACTATTTTTGGTGTAGAAGACAAAATCAGACATTGTTGAAGTCTGAGAGGAAACCACGACCTCTTCAGTGTCCTTGAACTCTTCATACAGAATAATCAGCTCATTGTCTCTGAACAGACAAGTCAATGCCACCTTTTGTTTTCACAGAAAGACCCTCAACTGAAAATTATCAGCCTATCAGAAGTGAGACTAAGACCGATAACTTCTGGGCCTGAAAAGAATCCGTGGAAGAGCTGACGTGACGTGTCCGAGACACTGTTACAAAAACAAGGGACAAACATTGGATTTCCTGAGACCTTGTGTCAATAAGTGGGATTTCCTGTTAGATACACAGACAGTAAACATGTTGAAACTGTAGGTCAGATCGCAGTCCGTCGTCACACTGAGGTGAAGCCAGAACCTGTGTGTGTGTGTGTGTGTGTGTGTGCTGTAACACTTCATTTGAAGTTAAAAATACCCTTTGATACCAACGACACTAAAGTATGTGTATGTGTGGCTCCACCCACATAAATTCAGAGTTCATGTACAGTTGGTTGACAGTGGTTTTTAAACAAAGAGCAGATGTCACTAATCTGTTATACTTTAGCCTAAATGGCTAAATAGCTTTGCATAAATTGCCTAAATAATTGAATCTAAGCTAGTTAGCTTAGGTTAAGTTATTGTAAACTTTATTTGAGGGCAAAGGTAATATTTGTTTAAGGTTAGTTTAGTTTAATTCAAAGTCTTGTAAACAAAGGTGAGAGCAGTTTAGCTTGTTAGCTAATCTGGAGATTTTTTAAATCTGCTGAATGGCTTGGTTGAGTTCTTTGATTGACTTTAAGGACATTTAATTCAAAGTTTAAAAATCTTTATTTTGTTAAGGGCTGTTTAACACTGTATGTCAATACAAGAGAGTTTTGTTTTGGTTGCCTTTTGTCCAGACTTTTATGCTTGGTTCAGTTGTTTGGTTCCTTTGAACTTCACCTGCTCCTTTGTTGTGGCCAGTGTTTTAAGAATATTCCTTATTCTTTTTTCTTTTTTTTAGATTTTCTGTGTTTGATAAACTCTTCTGTTCTTTGATTGTTGATATTGATTTTCACACACTGATGGTTGGTCTTTGTGTTGAGACTGAAGAAACATGAACATATTGAAATGGTACCGTAAACGACAGGGTCTGAACAGTGACGCAGCTCTGGACCAGTTCCAGGGTTTTAACAGGAAGATGAATGCATTCTTCTGAAGACTTGTTAATGGTGGAAAACTGCAGATAAAACAGAGACTAATAATTGTGTTTACAGGGGGAGAAAAGTTTGTGTAGACGAGAGTTAACGGTTTCATTTTCAGGCGATTGTTTTCAGGCGTTGTTTTCCTGGTACATTAAAGTCATAACTCCCCGTTGTTTTCCTGGTACATTAAAGTCATAAACACATGAGGAAAACATTAGACCTTAATGACACAGGCCACTGTTAAAGGAATTGAGGAATTCTCTCAGCTAAAAGATTCATTCTGTTTTCTTGGTAATCATCAGTGGATTCAGGTTATGTTGGGGATCAAACATCAAAGTCTGCACAGCTATGTCCACATCAAAGGCCTGGGCAATTTTGGAACATGACAATCGCTGACCTTAGTGTCAGTTGGCACAAGAACCATGAGCTGGTACAAGTACAGTGAAGAAACTGAAGAGTAAAATTAGAGTTCCTTTGTTCATGTTGAGACTCAAAACGATGGCATCAAAGAGCAAGGGAATGTTCTGGACGGTGGTTCTCCAAGTTTGTTTGAAAGGTTCATTAAGAATTTGAGTCTAAAGGAAGGTCCAGCAGGACTGACTGACTGGTTCTGTTATTGTTTCACTCTTTTTAAATTCACCCAGAACAAACACACCACGTTGAAACCACTATTAAAATAAACAGCAGTCGAAGAAGAAGTTACACTGGGAAAATAAACCAATCACCAAAACAGCAGAACAGAATCATGTGGGCACCAGGATATTTCTGGATTTACAAACAATCATTCACTGCTGAACATGTTGTTCATTATGAAGTGATAATAATTTTTCACTACTTCGACCAGAACTTTACAAATGTAAAACAGACAAGGGAAAATATCAGGTAGAAATAGAAGAAGTAGATTGGCTTTGTTGGTGAATTAGGATGACAAGATTTTAGCTTAATTTTTCAAGTTTTCCATTTCATCCACGATAAAACCTCACGCCTCGGCTCTGCCTCCGCCTTCTGTCATGAACCAACTCCAGGTCTCTGCTAGCATCACTGGAGTCGTGCATGATTGCGTTTTAGCCCACAAATCTCTTCTACACTTGACAAAATTGGTCAGAGAATTTATTTCCCAGACTTTCAGAGGTTGATTTACAGTCAGAAATGTTGGAGAGGCTCGAGAACATAAACGAACCACTGAGAAACTCTTTGTTTGTTTCATTTGAGGTCACACAGGAAAGACATTTTTCTTTTCTTATTTCAAATGATTAAATAAAGCAGTATTTGGCAGGACTGCTAGAAAAATAAACGAGTATTTAAACTGACGGCCCAGAGAAATCCTCTGTCATCATTCCTTTGGAGTATTTAGTTTTCATTCTTTTTTACAGTAACTCAGAGTAATGCCTAGTTTTTGGCAATAATTATTCCATAAAATTGGACTGAATGAAGATTAATGAACGGTTTGGTGAAAATCCACACACACAGAAGAAGAAGAAAGACTAAAATATTAATCTAACAACTGTAGGGGGCGTTCTCTGGAATTAAACTTAACTCACCTTTATGCTGTTCATTGTTGGTGACTGTGCACGTGGTGGACTTCACACACATGAACTCACCAAAAACAGAAACTGAAGAACAACGGGAACAGGTGTAAATAATGCGGCTGATTACCTGAAAGACAAAGAGCAGGGCAAACACAGGAGGGAGGGGTGAGAGGTCAAACTGAGGGGGAGTCAGGCAGCAGTGAAGGGCAGAGCTGAGAGAACACTGATCAATCACTGATTAATTACACTTCACCTCATTTTATCTTTTTTTATTTTTGACATTCTTCAGATTTTAGCATCTTGCTACATTTTGGAGCTAAACGTTATGATTAGCCATGTCTGCCTGAAAGTTTTCAATATCACCATTTTTTGGCTAAAACAAAAACTTTCCAATCCTAATGTTTGTTGTTCATGAATAATCAACTACTGTGGCTAACTTTAACTAGGCTAAATTTAACCCGTCTTAAGGCTAAATTAACTTTGATTTACTGTAAGTGATCTACATTAAATAGAGAAGCAACAAAAATCTGTAAAAATAAATATAAAACGGGATGTTATGAGTTTATGTTGACGGTGGTAGCACAGAGAACAGAACAAATCACTTTCTGTTGTTGAGCATCAGGGCTGATGGGAAAAACAAAATAACTCTTCACTTATTATTTCACAGTGTCTGCGACAGAACATTCTAGTACTCACCGTTAGCTTAACGTCACAGTCAGAGAACATCGGTTCTGTGAGTGCTGAGAGGAACTGTTAGGGTTTAGGTCCCAGTTCTTGCACCAGTGGAATTTTCAGCCAATGATATTGTTGTCCTGTTATTTTCTGACAGGAAACAGAAAAAAAAACCTTTAAAGTCAACGTCCCACATGGTCAAACACGAACCCTATTTTTTTTACGTACAGATTTTTGGTTTTGTGGAACTAAAATCTCCCAAACGTCCTGTTGATGAAAAGAGTTCAGTTCAGGGTTCGTCGATGGGGGTTGGGGAGGGGGGGTACTGTAGATATCTACGTCGAAGTTCATCCAGGGTGGAAATATGTGAGCCTTTGACCTGAGGGCCCCTCGTTTTTGTCAGGACTTTTTAGGTCCTGCTAAATTGCTTCCTGGACATGGTCACAGCTCAGACCATCATCAGTGGCAGAGGTGTGGGGGGGGGGGGGGGGGAGGGCCACCATCAGTCATGGAGAAAATCAGGTATGCCTCGTTTCATGCCTGAAAGAAAGACAGGTCATAGATGTAGCAGTGTGGGTCAGCGGTGACTTCCTTTCTTCACTAACCAGGTGACAAAAACCAAATGGGCGATGGGTCTGGGGGCAATAAAGGAGGTTCATAGGTAAAATGTCTCTATGCTATAATTTCTAACCTTTTCATTGAGAATGAAACGGACCTCATAACAAACATTTCTGTTAGCCACACTATGCTAAACATTAGAAATGGAAATAATTGATGCCAATGTTGAATCTTTTTAAAACTGATGGAGAAATGTATTTATGGAATTATAGTTACAAAACTTCTAGAAGCTAATTCTAAGCTAGCATCTTAAATTACAGCTATCCAATTTTTTCATTATATCACAATTTTTCATTATATCACAATGATACTTTTGACAGTGTATCTTAAACTCACAGATTGTTTTAACCATTCTGGACCTGATGCTTCACTGACCATGGCGTCTGAATTTCTCTCAGAAATGGTGAGAATCAGGACTGAAGAAATAAAGGAGACCACGGGGATCCACGTTAATGCAGCTCCAATGAAAACAGAAGACTATAAAAAAGTTCTCGGCAAGAAATCAGAAAAATTCTTCAGAGAACTGTCATTCTCCACCTCCAGTGTTACAGCTTTTTCTCTCAGACAAAATGACTTCCTGTTCCATCAAATACAGCAGTGAGAGTGAGTGAGTGAGTGAGTGGGATTATCAGTGGATCTGTCACTCACAGCATCAGTGGGACCTTAGCTCTGCTTCATCATCTGGTAGTTATCAGAGAAACAGGAAGAAGACAAGAGGACCAACAGCACAGCTGTAAGGACGAGATCAGGAAAAGAAATTAAAAAATTCATTTCAGGGGAAGTGAAGTTGTCAAGTATCTGGATTTGTTCTAGTTTTCCTTTAAATTCCACCTCATCTTATTGCTTAGTTTACACATTAGCTTTTACAGAATAGAATTTTTTTTTAACTATATTTGAATACATTTGATCCGTCTTTGTGGCTAACCTTCGGCTACTTGGGGTCAAATATTTGCTGTATTTGTAGCAAATGTTAAATGTTTTTTTAATGATTTTTTTTATATATATTTAAAATGTTTTTAGAGTCTAGATGTAGATTTAAGAACCATGTTAATGACAAATATATAAACATCTCATCTAACTGATGCTGTTGTTGTTTTACATTTTCTTTTTTCTCTAGAATAAATTTTAACAAATACAATTTTTATCAAACTGATTATTATTATATTGAAAATCTTTTCAAAAATAACTCATTTCAACACTTATTATGACAGAGTTGTTTTATCTCATAGTAAATCTCTCTTCCTTCACTCCACCTGCCTCCCACAATCTCTCACCCATTTCATCTATGACCTTTGCAGAGGAAGACGATGAAGATGATGAAGACGATAAATACAAGGGCCGTCAGCGTCAAGGGGCAGCGTGGACGGATGTGAATCAAGACACGACAGGCCACAGCGTTTCAGAGCGTGCAGCAGTCGCTCGGTGAGCATGTGGTTGTAATTATGTAATTCATTTTTAGCTAACCTGTAGCTAGTGATCTTCACTAACCTTCTGAAGTCAGTCGTACTACAGACTGACCCAGTGGTGAAACAAACGGATTCACACTGGTGTTCTGAGACTGTGACCTCCAGCTGACCCTCTCTGCTCCCGTCTTAAGGTGGACTTTATTTACACTTGACTTATGTTCTTGTGTGGATCCTGTTTCTGCTCTGGAATAATGGCCTTTGTCCACAGGGATTAGTTTCATGTTTCTGTCTCTGGTGGATCCAGCCACTGTGTACTGCGTGTGTGTGTGTGTGTGTGTGTGTGTGTGTATCACATTGGAGGAGCAGCTAGTGGACATGGTTCATATTATCTCCACAGGACGAAGTCCGGCCTTGACTTTGATCAAATGAAAGTGTCCAGACGTAAATGTTGATGATGAACAACCACAGAGGTGATGAAGGTGACCGGGGTTGAACCCAAAACCACCAACACTGTCTCCTACACTCACCTGCACCTGCTCTGCACAAACACCTGCCCAAAAAATAATAACTTTGAGTTACCCACAGTACAGAACTAGTGAAGTACAAATTAATTACATTAATTTCAAAATTATAAACACAAAATTAGCTGCAAAAACTTAGCTGGAAAGGGGAACAATAGTTCAAATTAGCCAGATGATTGGTGAACCAAGAGGAAGGAAAGGGGAACAATAGTTCAAATTAGCCAGATGATTGGTGAACCAAAAAAAGTCTAAAATAAAAGTCATAATGTTCTGTCAAACCAAGGCTGTGCTCATGCACCAAACACCAAGAGCTATTTTAACTCATGAAAAACAAGGAGCAGCTGGTTAAACTGCTGGTTAAACTGCTGGTTTAACTGCTGGTTTAACTGCTGGTTAAACTGCTGGTTAAACTGCTGGTTTAACTGCTGGTTTAACTGCTGGTTAAACTGCTGGTTAAACTGCTGGTTTAACTGCTGGTTTAACTGGTGCCTGAAATTAGTCATTCCGTCTCGCTGATATAAATCTATACATTGTATTTTAAAGACATTTGCTGCTCAGTTTTTTTTTTTTTAAATTCCAAATTCTGCCTATGATTTACCAAATGACTTTTTGCATTTTTCAGACATGAATTTGACAAAAATGTACAAAATTGATGCAACTGACAAAGTCGCAGTTATTGGAAACCAAACCACATCATTGAGCCAATCACAGAGGTGATTCCAATATTTATTGCTCTCTGCATCTGTTTTGTATTTTTCAAACACCACTGGTCATAAAGTTTCCTTATGTTTGATGTCGTAAAAGGTCTTGTAGTTAAATGTAGAGTGAAAGGCTGTAGGTAAACCAATAAATCTCACAGAAACAGACAGACAGGAAGTGAAATAATCAGCACCAACTTTCTGAGTCGGCTGACTGACGGCTGTGGTAACCAAAGACTAACTGGTTTAAGTGTTGACAAAGGAGGAGAGGAGATAGAAAAGAGATTCCCAGTGGCTGCGTGAGCGACCGCTCCACTTGCTTTTTTCTTTCACCAGTGAGATTCCCCAACCTGTAAAGTCCATCAGGACGAGGAGAGAAGGAATCCCAGTCCCACACACCACTTGAGGCTGTGAAAAACAATCCACCTGAACAAAGGAAAGACAGCTGCTGGAGAGCGGACAGGTGGGGGAGCTCAGGTCATCCTGGAGGAAGGACTTCCTGTGCTTTTTATGGACTGAAGGTGGCTCAAACTGTCAGGCTCGTTACTAAATCTGCCGGAAGTGTTCTACCGATTTGGGAATGATAAAAAAAAGAAACCATGGGATTCATCCTGGAATGATCTTTTCTTTGCTGTGCACCAGCTAAAGCTAATGGTGATTATTGCCAAGTGGAGAGATTTTCTACAAAGAAATGTTGGTAAAAAAAAAAATATATAAAAATGAACGTTGGTTTCATTGAAATTCAGTTGGAATATCGGTGGAATATCAGTGTTTTCTCTGCAGGAATTGGTGCCAATATTAAACCAAGACTTAGTTTTGTTGGTTTAGTTTGGAGTTTTGTTCACTATAGTTAAAGACAGGAATTTTGAAAGAGAACTGGTTTACATATTTTTAAAAAGATTTTTTGACTTTGTTTGACATCTTGGTGAGGGGTGGGGGGTGGATGGGGGTGAGGGTTGCAGTGGACTCCCCAGCCTTTGAACAGAAGCTTTCCTGGACATCACCCAATTTCCACATCCCAGATTGTGTTGCATCATCAAGGGCATCTGATGTAAAACGGGTCAAATACCTAAGCGGACCACTTTTGTGGCGACCCCCTGTGGCCACCACCTGAAAAAGGAACAAGCTAAAAGTGATTTCTGGTCTGCTGCCTTTCCTTCAGGCCCCGGTGCTGCAGTGGCCAATGAGTCATCTGAGGGTGATGTCTCTGGGTCGTTGCCCACAGCTCATGACCATAAAAGACTCTGTGGACATTACTCCACGTCTCAGATGTTGATGTCTTTTTTAATGTGCACCTGTTTTAAATTCACTCTGGACTAATGCCTTGCTCATGCAGCCCTGTGTTAGTGGACTCCCAGCTAATTGTGGGATTAGCTGAGTCACAAAGAACAGACACGATGATGAGAACCAGGCCTCGCCCAATCAGAGTCCTCGAGGTAAACACGGGCCATGGTGGCGTGTTGTTATGATGTGTGTCAGCTGTGGAGCACGGCTGCAGCGGCAGCGTCTGCAGGAACACCAGCGCTACGTTCACTATCACATCCTGGAGGGAAAATGTTACATCGGGACTTTAACTGTTGGCTGAATCTTTTCCACCGCAGCTTCAAACAGCGAGAGATTTTCCACTGAAAGTGAAAACAGCTTGAGTGCGTGTGGGTGTCAGGGGTGAGAGTGGGAGACACACTGTGAGACACAACAAAGAGACCTGAGAATCTTCAGTAGGCTCAGAGAAGAATCTATTTTCTCTCACCGTCATTATCATCACCATCATCATCACCATCACCATCATCATCATCATCATGATGATTGACAGTCAACAGTAAGTGATGAAGGCAGACACAGACGAGAAACTTTTTTATATAAACGAGCTTATGTTGGATTGTCTCAGCTGTCAATTACAATTAATCAATCAATCAATCAATTAATCAATCAATCAACCAATCAATCAGTCAACCACAGTGTCAAAATACTGAAGAAAGCAGATTGGAGATTGGATTGGAAAAAAAGACCAGAACGCTGCAAAAGTTTGACAAGTTGGCTTTAACTGCTTGGCCAAGTCATGTGGTTTGTGTTCATCAGGTGCTGTTGTTAAGTATATGTCTGATCTAACCAACATCTACAATATCTCAGCATTCTTTAACCTTCTCACATCATTGTCCTTTCTTGAAGAAATCCAACCAAACTTCTGAGGATGGAAACGACCTGAGAGACTGAGATGCTCACAGACGCAGAGAGATGGTTTTCACAGCATAGGTTCTGGTGTTTGATACTGGTGCCAACATCCAGGACACATTTAAATACCAGGTGCGAACAGTTGTTCTTAACGTTCTCCACCTCTGACCACAGATCCCTGGTAATTGGATCTCAGGACGCCCTTTTAATACTGGTCTATGCTGGACCAGAGCCTTGTAAAAACCATATGAAACGAGTCCAACATGGACTGTGGTCTGGTTCTCAGATACAGGACAACAAAGGTGGCGACCTGCGTCTGACTTTAGTTGTTGGTGTATGAACTCATCTGCCTCCTGACCCCACAGAACCCTGACCTCTCCCCACATGGTCTGCAGACTTCCCAGTCAACACACACATTGGTTTTGTTGGGAAATCTGAAAAATAATGAGAGAGAGTGTGTGTGTGTGTGTGTGTTTCATTAGATGATGCTTCAGGTTTTCAGCCTTCATCTTTCGATGAGTCAGCAGCTGATGACATTAGCTATGTTCAAATGATGACACGTTTGTTTACTCAGCACTGAATCGTGGACTAACCATGAGGTTGATGACAGCGTAATAATTTTCACTTTGTCAACAATCTTTTCTTGATATGAAATAAAACAAGATACTTTTGTTAATGTTAATGATTGAATATTAATTGAATTAAGAATATCATATATAACTGTATATTAGAAAGGAAGGAAGGAAAGTGAACTCCTTGTCATTGTGACATACTGTACATCACTGCACACAACCAAATGTGACCTCAGCTGTGGGCAGCTTTTTGAGCGCCCAGAGAGCAGTGTGGGAGGACGGTGGTAACTTAGCAGCTGGTGGATCCGAACCTGCAACCTTCTGGACCCAAGTCCGCTTCCTTAAGCACCAGTGCCCCTATA